GCCTTGATTTCTATGTAAAAGCCAGGAAGGCGGGGGAGATGTGTACACTCCTCTGCCCTAACCTCTTCATAGGAAGTTAGGTTAAATCCACAAAGTGGTGGGGCTCTTGTTCAATAGGGATAGATTTTACAAGTAGCCCCAAAGTGGGGGATTTGGAGAATGTGCCAATGAACTTGGCTTAAATTCTAATTCTGGCTCTGCTACTGGCTTCAGTTACCCTCCCCCATCTTCCCACCTCATTCCCTCCCTCCCTCTTTTTTTTTTTTTTTTGAGATGGGGTCTTGCTCTGTTTCTCAGGCTGGAGTGCGGGGGAAGCTGGGGGCAGTCTTGGCTCACTGCAGCCTGGAACTCCTGGGCTCAAGTGATCCTCCTGCCGCAGCTTCCCAAGTAGCTGGGACTAAAGACATGTGCCACCACACCCAGCTATTTTGTAAAAAGTTTTTGTAGAGAAGGGACCTTGCTCTATTGCCCAGGCTGGAGTCTTTTTCTCTTTTTAGAGATACTTTATCACATTCACCTCTGCTCTGTAGCAGTGTCTTCAAAGTGATCTGATTTTTCTTTCAAGTGGGGTTGAGTTTGTCTAGAAGGCTCTTGAGCATTTTCCTGGTGATAGGCCTTACTTTTTTGACATGGAGGTAGGGGAAAGGGACATGAAAATATCACAAGTTCTAGAAACCAGGATTCGAGCAGTCTTGAAGTTGCCCAGTCCCACCCTGAAGTGATCTGCATCCAAGAAAAAGGTTTTGTGATGGTGGTGGTGGAATGTTTGGGGATTAAGAGTTGGCTGTGTGGATTAACAAGCTGGAGCTGGAAATGTCTAATGAAACTGACAATGATGCCTTCCTGGATCAACTCACCCGTGTGTCATATGACAAGCCTGAAGAGGACTCAGGAACATTCAAACCCAACCTTCTCATGGAACAGAAGCCCGAAGGGGGCAAATGCTTCAAGTCACACAGCACAGTGGTGGTGTTGGCCAAAAACCAGAATTGTCTCCCTCAGTGATTACAACTAGATGTAGAATTAAGTTTTGTATGCCCACCACGCTATTGCTTTTCCCCCTTAAACTATTTCTTCTTATTGGGGGAAGGAGAGCTCCCTTAGAGATGGTGTAAGTCAGAGTTTACTGAACCAGGCACCCACACCCTATTTAGCTTTAGGCCTATACTCTGTTTACAGGATGGGCAATCAGCAGCTGAAAACTAACTGAATTTGGAATTAAACCCTTTTCCCTCTACCTAGCTCCCTTAAGCAACTAGACCCTCCCTGGTTCTTGAATCCACGTTGTGAGTTGTTCATTAATAGAACCTTTAGCAGCAAGGCTGGGGGAAGCTGTTTGTACTTGCCAAAGGCCATTCTCCATGAATGTAGTTGTGAATAGGTGACCCCCAGTTTAGAATGGGGGTGTGTATAATTTTCTTAAGAAGTTGGTTGAAGTTTCATCATAGTTATAACTACCATTTATTGTGTCTCTAACATGCCAGCAGCTTTTATAAACATTAATTTCTGTGGCTTGAGAAACAACCCTGCAAGGTAGGAGGCAGCATCCTTGTTCTTATGGATGCAGAATCTGAGATTCAGTAAGGCTGAGAAACTTGTACAAGGTAAAGTGGCTGGCAAAGAGCAGAGGATTCAAACCCAGGTCAATCTGGTCATAAAATGATCACACTGCCCTGCTGCCCATTGGATATCCAGCTCCAGCCTTGCCTAGGAAAACATGTTGCTAGTTTTTGAGAGTGAATGGGAAAGGAGCTGGAACAAAATATGCCTGAATATCTGACACTTTATACCATGGTGTCTAGTGTTTTTGAATATGAAGTTTTCTAGACTGAGGTTATCACAACTCCTGCCCTTGTCTTCCTTTTTATTACTTCTAGAGTAATTGTAGTTTTAACATCTTCTATCATGTTAAAAACAAAGTTGGTTATTTTTCTGATTAAAAAATACCTGTTTATGTAGAAAATACAGATATACAAAGAGGACAAGTCTTCTCAAACTATATACCAGCTTCTGGTTAAGAACGTGTGTACGGGAGCTAGACTTGCAAGAGTATGTATCCCTGCTCTGCAGTTTATAATGTGTATGACTTCAGACTAGTCACTTCTGTGCCCGTTTCCTATCTGTGAAGTTGGAAATATCCTACTTCATTAGGTTAACATTAAATGAGTTAATAGCTGCAAAGTCCCCAAAGTGACCGAGATGTTTAATATTTTACTAAACTTCTGGTCTTCCTCTCTGATCTGTGTATACGTGTGTAAGTATACATGTTAGTATGCATATAAGCCAAAATGAAATATTTTTCAAACCAGCTGCTTTTCATATAATTATATCGTGATCACCTTTCCTAACCTCTAAATAACCTTCTCCATTACCTGACAACTGCCTAAAACCCATGATGTGCTAGTGTGAATGGAACTGAATCCGTGTTACTGGGCATGCAGATTTCCAGATTTGCACTAACATAATGCATTTTTAAACAAATTTTAGTTGTTGTCCCATGAATGGTATCTGGGTGACAGGAACTTCAAGCTCTTTTCAGAGCACACCTAATCCTCCCTCCCCTAGTCTAAATGAAAATAAGGATCAGGAAGTACTCCCTTCGGAGCTCAGAACCTGCCTTAATTCTGAGGCAGCACTGTGAACTTTTCATATGTCAGCCGTAAGTGGGGAACTCACTCTGGCTCTCCCCTTTCCCTGCCTTTAAATCTAGACAAACCATGTTTCCACATTTAATATCTGATATCTCGGTTCCCAGTAAATCACAAATCAGAACGTTCTGTTGTTCCATTATTGCTATGTCTGAGGTGCCCCCTAAGAAACCTGTCGCTAAAAGGGCTTAGAAGTGAAGCTCTGCTCCCTGTTTCCCAGATTGGACTCCTAAATCCTGTCTCTCAGGATAGAGTACTGCAGTCCCTTTTGTGCCATGCTGGGCACTGTACATTGCCGTTTTAGTTTTATGAGTTTCTGATGACATGCTTATTTGACTTTATTGACACAGAACCCTCCTGCTGGTCTCAGATTGGTAGAAACCATTGATTGGTCCCCTCTTAACTCCCCCCGTCCCCTGCCCCCTGCCCTGCCAACGCCTGCAGTTTTTCACCACTAGCAAATCAATAGGTCATGTTTGATGACCCTACTCTTGCCTATCCACTTGCAGGCGTATTATATATGCAGACTCAAGGGATGTACTTGTCCATTGTGTCTGAGCTCCAAAGAGGCAAGAGTGATGGGCAGAAGTGATTTGGGATCAGTAGTCATGGAGTATACCTCTTAAAAGGTTTACAGCTTTAATGAGATTTTTCTCCTACTGTCTTAGACAAGAAATCTCCAAATGTTGGAAACTTGACATTTAAAACAGTATACATTCTAAAGGAATTCAACTGCATTTCAGGACCTGTTGACTGACCAACCTCAGACACAGTCATATCCTAAGACATTAAAGGAAAGGGCTCGATGTTCCCTCTAATTTAGGGAGTATATCATCATCTCTCAGAAAGAGTCTAATGTGGTGATGCATCTGCCAAAATTACAGAGCGGGTGGCACGTCTTTGGGGTGTGCTGGAATGGCATCAAGACTTAAGAGGAAAAATGTGTGTATTACATGCTTGTAAAACTCAAAGCATCAGTTACTCTCTGCAATATTTTCCAACGTGCTTTTTCATTAGTTTCCTTCTAACACCCTCCCTGTGAGAAAGGTTAAGTAGCATTACCCTTCTTCGACTCATGAGGACACTGGAACAATGAGAGGTTAATTGACTTGCTTTGGGCTCTCTACAGTGAGGCTGACCCAGCTGGAATTTCCAACTTCCGCTGCCTGGAACTCCAGCTTACCATTCCAAAGGCTCTGTAGAACCAGGGCCACCTCAGAGAAGGCCTCCGCAGAGGCAGGAAGAGCTCCCAGCCAAGAAAGGGGCATCTTGCTCAGCCATGTTCTTGCTGTTTGGGGACTGCTGAGGCAGAGAGCTAGTCTCTTCAAAGTTATAGTCCAAGATCCTCGACCTAGAAACTGTTTGGCTGCCTGGAGCTAAGCTGTAGGAGTGATGGATGGCAGAAATAAATTATTTTTGGCTCAACTGCTCAGTCTTGGCAGGGGGCCCTTTAAATTTGAAATGTTATTCTGACATCTACAAAAGGCTTAGGAATCTGATGTCATTTTCTCCCTATGATTCACATGTTGGCCTTTTCTGTAGAGGGGTTACCAGTTATCTCTGGTGTATGTTCCTGTTAAGGGTTCTCTGCAATTCAGATGCTGTAAAATATGTAATTAGGATGATAGAGATGGCTTCTAATATAGAGGGTCCCCTGTACCTCTTCTTCCTGGCCCCACCAGGCCTACTTGAATCATCTTGGCTCACTCCTCCCTCCAAAGCAGATCCTTACTACAAAGCCAGGTTGGTGGTGCTATTGATAACATGGTCTTAGACAAGAAGTTACTATACTTGATGCTTCTGTTATCTTGTGTCTTGATGTACTTTTTCTCTGGCTCCTTAAATTAGCCAAAATTCTTGCATGATAACCAAAATACTCGCAAGGTTGCTGTAGGCTGGAGAACAAGCTTAATAAGAGTATGAAAAGCATGGAACTTTGAGGCAGCACAATTGCTTAATCCCCACTCTAGTGCTTATAAGTTATGTAGCCTTGGGCTAGTGGCCTCTTCTTTTTGAGTTTCGAGTTTTCTCACCTGTAAAAATGGGAACAGCTACTTCACTGTTAAACTATAAAACCACACTAATAGACATCCATATCATACCCAGAAGATCAGGATTTGGTCCAGTGAGAGTTGGCATCCAACCTCATAGTGAGGTTGTCACTGTTCTCCTGCCACCCAGTCCACCCTCCTTTGCACTCACTTGTTTACTTTAAAATGTGGAGTGAAGTGGAGGTTTGCCATCTGGGGCTTGGAACTCTATACATTTTATTCGACTTGGAAATTAAGGCTAGACGTGGTGAGGGGATGAGACCAGACTGACATGACCTTTCTTTGTGTTTTTCTGGAGCAGGGATTCCTGGTCACCTCCCTTGCCCTTTTCTTCCTGGATGAAACAAGAAGATAATCAGGGTGTCTGTGCACACCAGGACTCAGAAGACAAAGGGATGGGTTCCGATTTTGAGGACTCTGAGGACAGGGAAGGGGACCCAGAAGAAAGAGAAATGGGCTCTAATCCACAGGACACAAACAAGAGAGAAGGCCATCTGGAGCCAGAGATGGGCTCCAACCCACAGGACTCAAGGCACAGGGAAGCAGTGCCCGACACCTGCACAGGTGAGGAGAAAGCTGGGATTTCCATGCAACTTGCCCCATTTACGCTTACTTCTAGCTCCTCTTGAATCCTAACCAGGGACAGCATTCTCTGTAAGGGAGTTCCCTAGAGAGGACCATTCAGCGGGATTCTGTACTGACTTGCCTTTCTTGTGTTAGCCTGAAGAGATCCTTTTCTTCAGCCCAGTGTGAGGTGAGCTGTGAAGAGGCTCACTCAGTGGCACTGTACTTTACAGTGTAGAGAATGCGGCTCTAAATTAACCCCTGGAACAACACCACAGTAGAATTGCCCAGGTAGTATTAGAATCTACCTCACAGGGTTTTGGGGAGTTAAATGAGTTGCTGTATATAGAGTTACTAAGCACAGTACTGTGCAAATAGGAAGTATCCAGATGTTTACAGTTACGTTCTCATCTCCCTTTGCAGATAAGTCAACTCAGTGGTGAGTGACCTGCCTAGGTTCATGTGGCTAATTCCCAAAGTGCCCATGGCCTCTGCTAAATGCCTTACTCTCACTGACCTGAAAGAGAGAATGCTGGGCCTCCACCCATCTCCTTGTTTCCGTCTTTGGGCATTCATTACTGCTCAGTGCATGCTCTGGGGACAGAAATGAGCTAAAATACTTTATGGCTAGGACTGCGAGGTTACATTCCTTCCCCTGTGACACAGTCCCAGACTCCCTGCTGCCCTCCTCCACAGTGCACACAAGCATGTGAAGGAGGGCACATGTGAGGCCTTTCACATCTCAGCATCTTCCCTCTGCTTGGGGATACACAGCCAGAGACCAACAGGTGTGTGTCCTGGACCAGCCTCTAACCTGGGCTCACCAGCTAGGTTCTAGGTTCTGTCATCTCTTTCTCTATTCCCTACTACTATCCTCCTCCCCGACCCACAGTAAAGTCCTGAAGGTGAGTTCAGTTTTTTGTTCCACCATAAGCTGTTTCAGACTGACCAAATGTACTTTAAAAATTAGTCCAGGGAGCCGGGCGCGGTGGCTCACGCCTGTAATCCCAGCGCTTTGGAGGCCGAGGTGGGCGGAAAACGAGGTCAGGAGATTGAGACCAGCCTGACCAACACGGTGAAACCCCATCTCTACTAAAAATACAAAAATTAGCCAAGTGTGGTGTCATGAGCCTGTAATCCCAGCTACTCAGGAGGCTGAGGCAGGAGAATCGCTTGAACCCAGGAGGCAGAGGTTGCAGTGAGCCGAGATCGCCCCACTGCACTCCAGCCTGGACGACAGAGCAAGACTCCGTCTCAAAAAGAAAGAAAAATTAAAAAAAAAAAGAAAAAATTAGTCCAGGGCCTGGTTAGGCCAGGTGGTCTTTCTCAGGTTGGCAGACTGTTCTTGTCTTTTGAGACTAGAATCTTAAAAGGCACTGGTAGCTCTTGGAGTAAACCTTTTCTCCTGAGCTCTTAGGGAGTGTCCCACCTGGCACAGACTTGACTATCCTGAACACAGGCAGTCAGGCCTTCAGATGGCTCTGCTAGGCAGTGCCTCGGGTCCAGCTAGTGGGGCCTGGGCCTGAGGCAGCTGCCTGAAGAACTGGTGGGCAGAGGAATCAATGAGTGCACTTTCCTTTAGGCCTTTCCCTGCAGGATCCAGTTGCGAGAGGCTACACTCTCAGGGGGCCTTGAAGGGGCAGGGATCACAGTTTTATTACTGAGGTTTCCTCTGGGCTTACCTTTTGAATGCCAAATATCGTAATCCCCCACTGCCACCTTTTTCTGTTGAAGGGGGGCAGCTGAATGAGGAAGAAGGCGTTCCTGTCGATGGGGAAGAGGATGCCCAATCTGGTGTAGCTGACATGGCGATGTTCCCAGGACTGTCTGAGTCTGACAGCATATCCCGGAGCCTCCGGGAGGAGGACGAGAGTGCTGGGGAGAACCGGCTGGAGGAGGAAGAGGAGCAGCCGGCCCCTCCCGTACTTCCCTGGAGGCGACACCTCTCCCTGGGGAGTCGGCACCGAGGTGACAAGCCCGCCCACCGCCGCTTCCACCGGCTCCACCACCCCATGGCCATGGACCTCGGGGAGCTGGATAGCCTGGTGGCCAGCATCATGGACGCGCCCACCATCTGCCCCGACTGCGGGGAGAGCTTCAGTCCCGGCGCCGCCTTCCTGCAGCACCAGCGCATTCACCGCCTGGCGGAGGCC